GTGAAGGTTGAGAACTTTTTACTTAACAAAAAGGGATGTGGTTTGTATAAATTATTAGGTGCTGTCTATGTGTGAGCTGCTGTAATTCACAGAATCTATCCATCTATCTGTCTATCATAATATGTCTATGGTATCAAAAAAGGAGAAGCCTGATCATTTCTTAATTCATAGTGAATTTTGAGCCATAATAATCCAGCTGGAGCAATTTTGAGCATTTTTAGTATCGTCATTCATAACTTCTTCCTGTAATGAATTTAGTTTTTGTGAGTCTGAAATTACTCTGCCTGATCACATGTTGATGGGTTAGGACTAATGACTTGTTGCACACAAATAGTAGAAAAGAGGAATAAAGTTCTTATTTTTAAAAAAAGCACTTTTTTCAATATTACTTTTACATTTATGGAGTTAAAATGACTATGTTTTTAAGGGGGGAAATGTGCTGTGGGAGCTATAATTGTAATTGACTAAGTTCTTTTGGGAAGAGCAGCTGGACTAGATTAGGGGTATACAGAGGATCTCCATTCTGAAGATGATGTAATTTTGAGGGCATTGAAGAATTTATTGTCGAGATACCTGGAAGAGGGAAAGATACTGACTGTAATATAAAGATACTAAGTATAAAGTTTAATGTATATAATGATACTGAATGTAATATGAAGACGATGAAAGAAAAAGACACATATGGTATTGCTTCTGGGGAAAAAAGCATTTAAGAAGATACTAGTAACTACTAACCTATGTATATACAGTCTCTGTATTATGAGAAAAATTGAAAGACATATCGAAGGTGTCCTTGGTGAAAACATGAGATGAGACAGGAAGGCTTTTGTAAATGATATTCTAAAGCAGATTACCTCTTTAAAGTCACATTTTTGACTAAAAGATGCAAATAGTTGAAGACTTCAGCCTTAAAGATTCTCCCCCAACAAAGTGTTTCCCTTGCATATGTTTCGATCATCAAGGATTCCTTGATAGATGAAAACTTGAAAAGAACTTTGTTTGATATTCTGATTGTTTACATTAAGTGAAATAAAAAATAGAAGTACATGTTCACCAATTATGTTTGTCACTATCATGGAAGCTATTTAGTGCATTGTTACAGTGGAAGAGAGCTCGATTCCCTGTAGAGGAACTGTTTACAACAGACATTGTGTTGTTTGTATCAAGCCCTGAATCATTGCGTAGCCTCTTAAATAAAATCTATAATCACTCAAAAGTATTCAGACCACTTATCCACACAGGAAAAACTGAGGGGGTGGTGAATTAATATTGGTCAGGCTATGATACACATTTGGATGGAAAGCCCATAGATTATGCTTTGAACAGACAAACACTGCAGTTTATAACTAATTGGACTCAGAATTGACTAGGAGGAAGAGAGCAAGCATTAGGGAAACCACACAGTGCTTTTAATATGCTTCTCCCTGAAACAGAAACCCATCTTTTTAATACCTATTCTTCCTATGAAAGATGTTATGTGATTACAAATCATGGAATAATACCACAATCTCTGAAGAAACAAAATGGTGACCTCATAAGTGACAATAGAAGGATGCATTGTGAGCACAGATTGGCATCAGTGACATACTGTTTCCAGAAAGTGGCAAAAGAGATAATGAAGTGATATGTAACTGAAAGAGATTAGCTATTTTTGTAGTGAGATGCCCTAGAATAGCATTATAGGATGACAAATGGACAGTTTATGTTCTACTCTGATACCCACATAATGTCAAGAAATGCAGAAGAAGACCTCTTACATATATTCCTGTAGAGGATTTAGAGGAGAACATAGATAAGAATTGCATAGGCTGAGAAGGCAAGAATGGGTTGTGATCTCTGCTGTTTGATAGAGTAGCCATATTAGTAAGATCACAGATCCTCTGAAATGTTGAAGTATATCTGGCATTACAGTGCTTTCTGACAGCATATAAACCTAAATTTCTCTCAGTCCTCAGTTCTCTTTGCTGCTTTCAGTTTGATTATTAAGCTCGATATCATCTAGCTGTTGTGATAGAATTTTTCTCTCCTGTTGTTTTGTGAGTCAGTACCCATTGAGACAAGCTTTTGGGAGTCTGTTTAATATGTTTGTTTCTAGCTTTGGTGGATTCTACCTAGCCTTTGAGGATGATACAGAAGAGCACAGGCACCTGAAAGGCATGCAGATGTGGAAAGTGTGTTTTATTTGCTGAATGTGCTTGCTTTCTAGTAACTTTATTTTCTACTCAAGGGATTTAACATCTACTCAGATCCTTTCTTTTTAAAGGCTACATAAATAATGACTTGACCGCTAATCTTAGCTTTGAAAGTTTCCCAGACACTAATAAAGATGATGCCTTGGTGACCTATTATTTGAATGCTACTCTTAGGCCAACAGTCAAGGACATTTTGAAAAATTGTACATTTTAGTATGAAAGCATGTCTGTGGCTAAGAGACCTTTTGGAGAAAATCTTGTTTTTGTCAATCTGAGAATTTTGTGTCTTGGATTTAATTGGCAGCTGTGTAGCCTGTTGTTTTCCTGCTTTTTTACAAGGTTTCTGAGCAAGTACCATCCAAAACAACTCCCCCTATCCACTAACAAATTGAAGTATAGAAGTTACTTATGTTGTCAGTTTTAGCCTTAAAATCACAGAGAGCAAATATCCTTACGATTAAATGAGAAATTTTGGAGATGAAGATTATCAAAGCAAAATATCTCATATGAATTTTTAATCTCTTTGAATGTAAGAAGTCATTTAGGCCCATAAATTAGTAAAACATTTTAAAAAAGGGATCAGAATTTTCATATAATTAAGAATAGCATCAGCAATTATATTAACTGATCTCTTTACTTAATATACAGGCTTTAAACACTCAGTGAGGTTCAAAAGAAAGTTATCAGGTCCCAGGATAGCACCCTGCAATTGTCATCTGGCACTCTGTGTGTATGTGAGTAGAGGGAGGTGGAGTTGGAAGAGAAGAGGAGGAGGAGGACATTGTATCCTGGGCATTTTGAAAAAATAATTGGCTCTTGATTTGTACTTATTGCTCTGTGTGTGTGTGTGTGTGGGGGGGGTATTTAAAATTTTATTTTATTGATTTTTTTGTTTTTATATCATATATTTCCCATTGTGTCTTTCTCTTCCTATCTTTCCCTGAGAGCTATCACCTGAAGCAAAGAATAAAAAATAAAAAAACAATTTCAGTAAAATTTACCAGCGTATCATGAAATGGTTGAGTATATGTAGTATTTTGTACCTTTGGTCCCTTTTTCGAAGAATTGGGGGAGGTACCTCGTCATAGATCTCTGGGGCCAAGATTGGTCATTATAATTTCCCAGTATTCAGTTTCTATTGTTTTATTGTTCTTTCTATTTATATTGTTATAAACATTATGTATATTGTTTTCCTGCTTCTACTTCACTTTGCATGAATTTACATTTCTTCCTGTGCTTCTCTATGCTTATCATAGATGTCATGTCTTAAAGCACAATAATTTTCCATTGCATTCCTGTGCCCATTCCCCAATCAATGTTCCTCTACTTTATGTAACAGTTTTTTGTTCCATGTATAGATGTTTGTTGTAAGTATTTTGGTGTATGCTGATCCTTTCTTTCATCATAGTTGAGTGGCTAGCATATATGTGTGTGTGTATATATATAATATATATGTATGTGTGTGTGTGTGTGTGTATATGTATACACACACACACACACACACACACACACACACACATATATACACACACAGCCTCAGACACTTATACTATGTGATCCTGGGCAAGTCACTTACCCTCTCTGAGCCTCAGTTGACTCATCTGTAAAAAATGGTGGTGGTAAGGATCAAAAGAAATAACCTGTGTAAAAGCACTTTGCAAACTTTAAAGCTCTGTATACATGCTAGCTATTACTATTATAGCACAACAATATTCTGTTGCATTCGTGTGCCACAATTTGCTTAGTTATTTTCAAATCATTGGGCAGATTTACTTTGTTTCCAGCTCTTATGCTGCTACAAAATTGTTCCTAAAATTATATTTTATGTTGGTGCGTATGGGGCTTTTTTATCCTTGGGGTTTAAGCCTAGCAGTGGAATCTGTGGATCAAAGGGTGTGGATATTTTACTCACTTCCTTAATATAATTCCAAATTTCTTTCCAGAATGATGGGAGCAATTCACAACAGCATTGCCTGTCTTTTCATAATCCTTTCAGACATAGACTTTTCCTATCTCTTGTCATTTTTAGTTCAACTATTATTTTCCTATTTTACAGATAAAAATCCTGAGGTTAAGAGACATAAAGTGACTTATCTAAGGGCCCTGAGCTAGTAACTTGAACCCAGATTTTCTAAATCCAATACTTTATCCCAGAAAGAATTGTTAACTCAGTGGTAGTATGTAAAGAAAGCAAAACAGATAATTTGTTCATTTAAATTTTTTTTCTGTCTTTATCAGCACTGAGCCTGAATGTAAAGGGGAAAAATGTATTTTCCTTATTTGTATTTTTGGCCTTTTAAACAATAATGGGACTTATACACTGCCTTTTGTGTGAGGAATTCATACATACACTAAATGCATTGATCCTAACACAGTAGTTGATTGTATGACTTTAAAAGGTCATGGGTTACTGTTGTTAGAAAATGGGTGAGGGAGAGCAGCATTTTACAGATATTGCTTTAAATATAGCTGAATAAAAGTAATGAATGACCTACAACTAATAAAATATTAAATGTAAGTTAAAGAGCATTTTTGTATGTTAAAGATAGTACTTTGTAGTTGATTTTGTTACCTTTTTTGTTTTTTTCCCCTCTTTCCATAAACTTGTAACATCAGACCTTGATATCCTTTGTCATCCTAGAAGACTGAGTATTGCTTTCTCCCCAGACATAGTAGCACACAAAATATTTCCTTTGGTCTGAGAAGTAGAGCTCCCTTTCCTTTAATGAGTTTTGTGTTTGTGGTTAATAGTTATTGATTTGTGGTGAACACAGCTTCCTTGCTTAATTTTCAGCTTTTGTTTTCTAGGTTTATTCTTCAGTCCAAGGAAGTAATTCACAACCAGCTGTTAGAGAAACAGAAGATAGCAGAAGAAAAAATTAAGGAGCTGGAAGTAAGTTTTAAGCAAATGATATCTGAAGTAAAGTTGAAAATAAGGAACAGGGAGCAGCCTCTCTGCCCTTAACTCATATGGAAATGAGAAGATATAATGATAAAAGATCTTTTATCTGGATTTTTTCACCACTGAAATGTGAATTAGAAGAGGGTTATGGTGCTCTTTACATGTATAAGATGGGAAATGAGGGGAACTTATTTATGAATTCAAAGAGCCTGCATAGATTTTACCCACTGAATTAGATGAATACTTCAGTTCTTTTAAAATTTTGTAGTATCTTTTTTGGAGGGGGGCAGTCAGGGTTAAGTGACTTGCCCAGGGTCACACAAGCTTGTAAGTTTCTGAGGTCAGGTTTGAACTCAGTTCCTCCTAACTCCTGGCCAGTGCTCTATGCTCTGCATCACCTAGCTGCTCCCCAAAATATAATAACATCACAAATAAGAACAAATGGTAGGGCCCTTGGTGTAGTCTGTTGTTAGTTAATCAACAAGCATTTATTAAACTTCTACTATGTGTCAGCCACTGTGCTATGTACTGGGGGATTTGTATAAAGGCAAAACCTCCCCCCCACCAAAACCAGTCTTTGCTTTCAAGTTGCTCTTAAGCAAATATGAGAGACAACAAGTAAATCGCTATGTACAAACAAGATAGATATTAGATATAATATGAGAGAGTAGGCAGCAAGATTAAGGAGGACTGAAAAAGACTTCTTGCATAAAGTAGAACTTTAGCTGCCTTTGGAAGGCAGCCAGGGAAGCCAGGAGGTGGAGATAAGGGGAGAGAAAGAGTTCCAGGTGTGAGGGATAGCCAGTGAAAATACCTGAAGTCAGAAGATGGAGTGTCTTATTCTAGAAGCAACAGGGAAGACGGTGAACATGGAGGAGAATAAGGTATACGAAGACTAGAAAGGTAAAAAGGGGCAAGATTATAAAGAACTTTAACATTCTTTTCTTTTAAAATTTTTAGTTCCAAATTCTCTCCCTCCCTTCCACCTCCTCTCTCCCTAGCTGAGAAGGCAAGAAATATGGTATCAGTTATATGTGTGAAATTATGCAAAAGATATTTCTGTGTTAGCCATTTTTTTAAAAGCAAGAAAAATAAAGTGAGAATATAAAGAACTTTAAAAGCCAAACAGGTTTTTATATTTGATCCTAAAAGTAATAAGGATTCAAAACTAGACTTTTCTGAATGGAGGGAGTGTATGACATGGTCAGACCTGCTCTTTAGGAAGATCAGTTTAACAGCTGAATGGAGAATGGGTTGGAGTGGGGAGAGGCTTGAGGCAGGGAGTCCAGCCTTAAGGCTATTGGTGTCCAAACGTGAAGTGATGAGGGCTTGCACCAGGGTGGTGGCAGTGAGAGAAATAATTGTTTTTCTTTTATATTAATAATCAATTAGTGAATTAGGACCCAGATTTTTTCAGAAACCTGTAGGTTGTTCAGTGTCTGAAGAACATTGTTGATGGGAGATCCCACCTAACTAGAAAGAATTTAACCTAGGGTCAATTCAGGCCCATTGTGTTCCATTCAGACAGGCTAGAGTTGTCTGGGAGCAAGAGTGATTGAGGTCATATCCCTCAGCTCCTCATTAGAATGGGTCCACTTCTCATTATAATATTTATTCTCTCATTGTTAACCAATCAGAGTTGATTATCACCCTCAGAAACATTCATTTTTCCAAGGGCATTTAAGTGTTGAGTGGGTTCCATGAGGGGTCTTTGGCATTTTAGAGTGCTACCAACCCCTTTTATTAATTGTCTGCTAACATAATTAATAAAATGATCAATTGCCCAGAAACTTTGCCTCTCAAGCTTTTTATATATCACAGGCAGCATCATAGGAGAGGATGGGGAGTACGTGAGCGATGTTAAAAGGTAGAGATCACAAAAGTTGACAAATGATTGGTTATGGGGGGTGAAAGAGAGTGAGTAGTTAAGGTAGCAAGGATGGGTAACTGGGGACGTGGTGCTTCCCTCAACATTCATTGGGAAGGGAGGATTTGGGGAGAGGGAAAGATAATGGGTTCAGTTTTAGGCATAGTGAAATGAAAATGTTCACATGGCATCCAGCTTGGTATTTTTAGCAGGCAGTGGGAAATGCAAGGGTAGAGGTCAGGAAACTGGTTAGAGCTGGACAAATAGATGTGAGAATTATCTGCATAGAGATGATAATTGAATCCATGGGAGTTGATGAAATCACCGAGTAAAATAATATTTAGGGAGAAAGAAAGGAGACCCAAGACAAAGCCCTGTGGGGAAACCCAAGGCTAGTGAGCATGAACTGGATGAAGATCTGGCAAAAGAATGGTTAGACAGGTAGGAGGTAAACCAGGAGAGAACAATGGCATGAAAATGTAGAGAGAAGAGAGTAACAAGGAGAACAGGGTGATCACCATTGTGAATGGCTGCACAGAGTTCAAGAAGGGTGAGGACTGAGAAAAAACCATTAGATTTGACAAGACATTATTGGTAATTTAGGAGAGAGTAGTCTCACTTGAATGATGAGGTTAGATGCTATGTGGTAGAGAGTTAAGAAGCAGTGAAAGGAAAGAAAGTAGAGGGTACCTGTTGTAGATGGCCTTCTCAAGGAGTTTAGCCAAAAAAAGGAAGGAGAGATATGGGGTGATAGTTAGTGGAGATGGATTGATCAGGTGAGGGATTTTTGAGGAGGGATACGTGGGTGTGTTTGTAGGCAGTGGAGAAGCAGCTAGTATATAGGAAGGATTAAAGATAAATGACATAGTGGAGTTGAGAGGGTACAGTCTATTGGAAGAAGATAGGGTGGAATGGTATCACTTTTGCATGTAGAGGGGTTGTCTTGGCAAGGAGAGGGATAGCTCTTCATATGAGACAGGAATGAAGGAGGAGATAGTAGTGGAAGACTTCTGAGGGGTATGAGGTGAGAAGGGGAGAAGAGGGAGTCGAATATGAGTCAAAATTCCCAACTGAGTGGGTTGGAGGAGGGATGAAAAGTCACTCTACTATAGTAAGTTGGGTAGTGAATTGGTTACAGAAGTATAAAAGAATTATCTTGCCATAGTGAAGGTCTAGTTGAGGTTAAACTTAAATTTGTAGTGAAGTGGTCAGCATAGTTTAGTGATTTTCTCTAGTTTTGTTCAGCAACACATGAAGAGAATAGCTAGTATAAGGTTGATAGCCTGGCAAACAACTGAGAGTTGGAGGGATTGGAGATAATAATGAGAACGAAGAGTGGGGTATGGAGCTGCAAGGCAGAGGGAGAGGTGGAATGACAACAGATCAGGATCAGAAAATGGACTTTCAGAGTGCATAAACATGGACGTGGTACAATTGTGGGTGATGGCAAATTCAAGGCTACAGCAGTGTGTTGCTATGGTGTATGTATAGTGTGTCCTCTAAGCTTTATTAGGTCTAAAACAAGAACTTAGAAGTCATCCATAACAACAAAAATATCTCAAAGGTCTTACCACCATGAAGGAGAGGAATACTTTAGATTGAAAAAAGGGCTTATTGGTACAAGCAATTAGTAAATATTTGGGGAAATTGAGTTAACTCTTACAGCTTCCTAATAATAAGAATTGTAGTGGAATACTTTTCTTAGTGTATTGGTAAAATGTTTAATTCCCTAGTAGGCAAAGAGCTACCCATCCTATCTTAAGAGATTAAGATTTTTCAGAGTATACATTTAATGACTTCCTAGATCATTATCTAACTTGTATGAATACTCTTTGGGGCAGTGATTCAGAGTCTGACCTGGCCATCTGCTGAATCAGTTACACTGTTTCCTGTAGTATCCTGGGGAATTTCTTAGAGCTACTGCTACATTGTGATCTGATCTTCCATGATATCACAGACCATGATTTAACAAATTAAAAAAAATAAATCTTCCATTTTGAAAGGTGTTCTACTAGCAAGAAATATTTTTAAGGAGTGAAGGACTATTTTGTTGTTGTTGTTAAGACACTTAACCTCTTTGATTCTGTTTCTTCTGTTAAATCAGAGGGTTAGATTAGATGATATGTAAATTCAAAGGATGTTAATTTGTTAGAGGTTTTATTTTCCTGATTAATTAATATGGTAGACCAGTGGCCAAGAAAGAACAGTACCATTTCATCTAAGTGATGATTGGAAGCCTGACAATGGTGCTCTTATTTTTGAGGAGAAAAAAATAAGGCAGAGATTTTAATATACAATATTAACCTTCCTTGTTGTTTGGGGAAATAAATGTTCATCCCTTTGGAACTGATGATGATAAACAGCTTCTTTCTTAATATAAAATTTTATTTTTTGCAATTATCAAGCATTTGTTTTTTTCCTCCCTCCCTTAGAAAGCAAAACAAAAACGCCTGTAACAAATATAGTGAAGCAAAACACATTCCCATATTTGTCATGTCCAAAAATGTGTTTTGTTCTGCGTATTTATCACTTCTGTCAGGAGGTGGGTAGCAGATAAATAACTTCTTTTAAAAAAGGAAAGCTGAGTGTTTAGATGCATCATTAAAATAGACTTTTCTATCAGTAGAAAAATATGCACCTATGTAAGCGTGTTTCTCTTGTTTTAAAAAAACATTCATTTTTTTTTAATAGAGGGAATATGAGTTGGCACTTGAATGAGATTAGAAGTAATAGAACTTGACTTCTCTCGTGTCTCATTTTGTAGCAATGGACAAATTCATTTTATCATGAAACTGCCTCAAGTGATTGGTACCTTCAGTAAGTGGGTAAGCCAGAGTTCAAATCTTAACTTAGTTTAGACTAGGTTTTTTAACCTTTTCCATTCTAGCTTATACTAGGAAGCTTGTTTGATGTTCTTTCTCATTCAGAATTTCATAGGATCATAGATTTAGGGTTGAAAGGCAAGGCAAGTCAACAAGCATTCATTAAATGCCATCTTTTATCCGGGCACTGTGGTGAGCTCTGGAAACCTAGAACCAGAGCGATGAATGACTTCCCCAAGGATAGTTAGTGTGTGAAAGAGCCATTATTCTACTGAAGGTCCAGCACTTTTTAAAAATTTCAT